AGCTCTTACCTGGAACAGCTGTTTCTGTCTTTAGCCGGATAGCGCAGTCCAAGGCAACCGTGCAATAGGGGGTGGGCAGGGTGAGTAACCTCGTGCAAAAGGTGTAGGTTCTCTGGTAGAGCTCCTCGGTGATGCCTGTAGCCTGGGAGAGAAGGGGTAGTTCGGGTGTCCAGAGCTCTAGCTCTTGAAGGGTCCTGGGTTGGATCAGATTAAGGTGGAGAAGAGGAAGAACAGGCCTGACACCAGGCTGGGGCTCAGACTTCTCTCCCTACCCACCTGGTTGTTCATGACCCCCAGTCTACCGCTTTCAGCCTTCTCCCAGCACCTGTAAAACATCGCCTCTTGGATGCCCTACACAAACTTAGTGTTATGGGTTGAATTGTGTCCTCTAAATATATGTTTTGTAAATCCGAACCTCTATATCTATGGTTATAATCCCATTTGGGTATGAGTTTTCTTTGTTATGTTAATGAGGCAGGATTAGTGTAGGGTGTATCTTGAGTCAGTCTCTTCTGAGATACAAAAATGATTAAATGCAAGCTAGAAGCAGAGACGGGGTAAGATAGATGCCAAGATACATGGGGATCTCCCAGGAACCAGGAAGCAGAAACTGAAGAAACAAGGACCCTCCTTCAGAGCCGACAGAGACAGAAAACCTTCCCCCAGAGCCAGCACCCTGAATTTGGACTTCTAGCCTCCTAAAGTGTGAGAAAATAAATTTCTGTTTGTTAAAGCGCCCACATGTGGCATTTCTATTATAGCAGCACTAGAAACTAAGACAGAACTTGATACCAAGAAGTGGGGGTGCTGCTGTAACAGATACCTAAAATGTGGAAGCAGTTTTGGAATTGGGTAATAGGTAGAGGCTAGAAGAGTTGCAAAGTGCCTAAATAGTAAAAGCCTAGATGCCTTGAAGAGACTGTTGGTAGAATTATGCACTTCAACGGCAATTCTGGTGAGGGCTCAGAAGGAAGTGAAAAGAGCTATAAAGAAAGTCTCTATCGTCTTAGAGAATACATATGGCACCAGCAATAGACTGTTGCTAGAAATGTGGACATTAAGTTTGCTTCTGATGAGGGTTTAAAAAGAAAATGAGATTAAGCCAGTGACTGATGGATCTAACCAACTACCACAGCAGAAAACCCACCAGCTTAGACTGAAGGGGTCAGAGACAGGACAAAAGGAAAGAGAACAGTCTGCCTCTTGGAAATCTA